CAAATGAATCAATCAAATCCAATTGACCTGACTTATCCAGAACTGATTAGATTAGATTTTAATGGCGAAGGGCACAAATTGACACAAATATCATTTAACTCTTGAAAACCAATCACCCAAATAGTTTTAAAAGCTAAATAGTCTATTGTTATTAGAGCTTGATGATCAGAAATAAGCAAAGCTTTCTTAAAATAAATGTATTTACCTTTAATTTGAGTAGGTAAATGAATTAGTTTTCCAATGGAATGAGTTTTTTTACTCTTAAAATAAGATAATTTGATAATATGCACTTCAGATAAATGTTAATGCAATTGTTTGTTTGTTTTTTCCTTATTTTAAATGTAAATTGTCTTTTTCCATTGGAAAAAAGTCTCGCTTTTCTCCTCAATTCAGGAAAGAAATGCTAATTTTAAGAAAAAAAAGATATATTAAGATATAAATTTGGATGAGTTGAACTAATTGACTGCAGTTTGCCTCACCTGCAGTGCAAAGTTGCTTTAAAATATGTTTTTAGTGACGAAGCAGCTACCTGCAATAGTGATGAATAATGAAATAAAAAGTTTTAAACATTTTTAGAATGGTATGCTTTCAATAATTATTATTTTTGTCTCTAGTGTCCAAGCAGAGATTCTTTTGCTTGAAAGCGAAGTCATTGGGAACCATCGTTCTTAAAGTGGACGCGTTCATCACTGTTAAAGAGTAAGTAGAAAAAGCAAAAGACAAAGAATCATGCAGAGTTTTCATATTCTTCTCATTTATTTCTCTATTTCTTCAACCGTGGGCTTTTAAGAAGGCTACATGTCAGATTTATCAACTTTCTTAACTTCAGTAAATGATCGTAAATGATTCCTGTAAACGTGATGCAGTCCATCTGTGCGTAAATAACGGGTGTTCCCAAGAAATGTAATAATGCCATGTAAGGCGATGCACTCCCTCGCCTCTCTGATCGGCTTTGAAGACGAAGAACAAACACTTGGATGGAGGTCTGAGAGCTGAGCAGCAGAATTACAGGAACAGTTAAAAGCCAAGCAGTGGAAATAAATAAGAAGAGCTGTAAATGTTACAGAAGTAAAAATAATAATAATAAAAGAAGAAAAGTAATTTGATCTAAAAAACAGTCAAAGACGATTACTGATGGAGGCAAGAGGTGATGTAAATATGAGTTCAGCATCAACCCACATGACATTCTGCAAAAACTGCTTTTAAACAGACACACCTGTACTGTACCTCTGCAGATCACGACTGTCATCCCTTCATCTCGCTCTCATGCATAAACGTATAGAACATTTTGACAGCA